AAATTTTGCAAAATATGATAAAAAATGATGCTAATTTATGCGTGGTGCATAAAACCACGGGGACAGCTCAGCGAGTTGACTCATTATTTGATTATTGAATAACAGTTCGCACTTTCTTGTCATTCCTCGTTGCTTGAAGACATACTGTTTTGGGGTAAAACTTCGTTTTTCATACAGGGATGAAGAGGGCACAAAGGAAACTTCACTGTGGGCAAGGTGTATGCCACAGGAAGCCAAGACAGACTATAACTACTTGTCAGTTTTGTCGGTGGATCTCCATTAGTCAATCCTTTCCTGACATCCTCTTTATCGCTGCTCTTGATTAAAATCCCGATTTGCATCATACAATATAGACTAAACGAAAATGTCAGTGGGAGATGAATAAATATATGCATTGCAATTTGCAATCGCAATAGGCTGTCCTGTTTTTCAATAAGATGGATATGTTTAGGTCGAGTTCAAGCCTCTCAGTCCCAGAATGGATTCAGATACCACATTCGCTCGATGTCCTTGCCCCTCCTGACTCTAACTGGAACCGTTTGTCTTAAAGTTAAAGAGACATTATTTAATTAACTTTAGAGTCAGGAAAAAACACGTAGATCTAGGAGGACTATTAATTACTATTACCATTAGAAGTTTGAGTCACAAGACCTCTCGGGTGCATCCTCAGGTGCTTGTCGTTCTCCCTGGTCAGAGTCTGAGAAGATTACTCTAATGATTAATTAGTTCAGAGCCATCGTAGCACAATTATTCAAGGTACCGGTAATAGTAATAGCTCATGTTACAGTGAAATGAAAGCTTGTAAATAGTACATTGTATGAGTGCGACTGATAATCCACATGCATGCTGTAGAGCTTCAAACTTCTAGTCATTATGATATTGGGTGTACGTGCACACGAGCAATCACCCAGCCACAAGTAAAATTATACTGTCCCCGCGGTTTTATTCGTCTCGCATAATTTTGCAAAATTTGATCATTTTTTGCATAATTTCTTATTATTTTCCTTTATCATTCTTAGTTAAAATGAACAAAAACGCATAATTTCACATTTTTGGGCTCAGTTTGCATAATTTCAGAATTTTTCTTGCATAAAACGACGGGGACGGATTATAATATTCATAATCATACCTGATACGTTTCTCTCTATCAGAGAGTAAAGGCGTAATCGGTAGAGTAAACAGTCACTTGGGATAAGGTATGATGTCACTGGAAAAAGGGTGAAAAAGTCAAAGAGTTTAAAAAGTCATCTCCCGGTGCGCTCTCTTTTCCCAGCAGCTGTCAATCCAGGGGGGTCTAGAGGTCTGCACTCCCACATTACCACCAGAAGAGTGAGTCTACATCAGCGTTTATCAACCTTTTCCCTTTGCCCACTTTTTAACCACCTTTAAGAATAAGAGGCCACACTTTTCGTGCCGCCCACCTGTATTATGATTATTAAACAAATTAAACAGGCATTTCCACGGGGGTCTATACAATTTATAATACACGTAGTTCTCACTACCCAGGTGATCCCCACCCCCAACTGATCGTCCAAGCTGGTGAGCATTCGTCGTGAGGTAAGGTCAGTGACTGACCTCAGTTAGAATACATGTCGCTCTGCCTTTCCCCCCAAAAAATCGATGTCAGAATACATTGTGGTTTGATGTTGAAATTAATTATATGTGATTCAGGCAGACAACAACTAAGCCACTTTCTGACTGTAGCCATTTCACAACGTCATGAACCATACCATATATATTCTGTTATTAATATCATAATAAATATTGTTCTCCTGTATTTTTTTTTCTGAAATAACATGTGCAGCCCTAAATTATCCACCCCCTTCTTTGTGGATATATATATATATATATATATATATATATATATATATATATATATATATATATATATATATATATATATATATATATATATATATAGAGAGAGAGAGAGAGAGAGAGAGAGAGAGAGAGAGAGAGAGAGAGAGAGAGAGAGAGAGAGAGATACAATCTGAGATGGATGGATAGATAGATAGATATTGCATAAAGCACAAATATTCAAAACAAAATGCACACAAAGAGCAAGAATGTACTTCATTTCTTTATTGAAAAGTCACAAGCTTTTAGTTTTACATTTATTAAAACAGATTACAAAAAGTACACATGTACATTAGGGCAAAATTCTTGCATCAATTACTTTCTTTTTCAATGCACATGTAGGTGTGTTTTTTACGCCTTATCGACACAAATTAAATCGTTTAGGGGGCTGGCTTCGTCTCTGCCTGTTAGATCCAACCTGGGGTGAGGATACAACATCCTAACAGAACGACCGGGACACTGGATAAAATTTCTCCCAACACGGGAACCGAACTCGGGTCCTCTGCGTGTGACGGCGAGGCGCCTAACCGCTCCACCAAAGACATCAGTAGTCTTTGCATCAGGAGGTCTTCCAGATATTATTTTTGCGAAGCAGGTTTACTCAGCACAGCTTAGACAAAATCGTTATGTGCACCTACGAATGTACACGATTACATTTTGTACTCGAGTCCCATTCGTGCAACGAAACTTAACAACTTATTATCAAACGTTTTAAACAAGAGAGGGGAACAATTTCGTACAGTGTTCAAGAAGGAGGAGAGGTCACTTCGGTGGACAAGCTTTTTCAATGGCAAAGTAATTAGCTTAAAAAGTACCAGGTCATTCCATAAGTCTCACCATACTCACGATTATTGTCGCAATAAAACAACGATCTTCAATCTTAAACAATGAGGCTGTCTTCTTGTCTGTCTCTCAGAAATGAAATGTGAACAATGCAATCGAAATCGTCCCAGATGGCCACTCATTGGCGAGGAGAAAAGTAGTTGCCTAAGTCAGGTGGACGTCTTGGACAGTGTTAATGACATAAAAACGCAAGGGGTAAATGGGATGTGGACGTTTGTACAGATGCATGAGTGTCTTGGACAGATAAACGTTTGAGTTTGAGCAGGTTTGAATATTTAGTCTACATTCACACATTACGCTACCTCAGATTTACAAAGTTCTGTCTGCTCAGGGTCTAGTTTTGAGACTTTTGACTTCGTTTTTTAAGTTTCATCAAGCTTTATGGAATGCAATTCTTTGAATGTCTTGATAACTACTCCAAATATTCTTGTGATTTTGATAGAGCAGATAGAGCATTGCTTGCTTTCTGACCTCATGGCCTTAGTAGCTTAAAATTGCCAAAAATGTCAGACAGAACTGTGTAATTCAACGGTAGTGAATAAAACATAAATAAATAGTATTCCTTATTACCACTCTACCTTCCATACACACATGAATTAATTACAGACCGTGGTGTGCAAATACTAAATACACCCACACCCCCCCTTTCCACACACACACACACACACACACACACACACACACACACACACACACACAC